CTAGATTCTAAAGATCAAAATAATGAAAGGAATGAGGTGAGACAGTTATATAGATTAGTGGCAGTTCAAAAAAATCTCAAACATTTTACTGCTCGGCGATTCGAACTTTGGCCTAATCTGATGGTGACACTGGCTGAAACTGCGGTTAACACTTTGAAAACATTCAATGTGTCTGGAGTTCCAATAGATAGCACCCTGATTGCAGAACTTTCGAAATGTAATGTACTGGAAGTTTTGTCGTTCGTTAGATGCATGGAAAAAAAGGCCGAGGTCACAATTCTCAGTAGCGGTAAAGGGAAAACCAGGGGAAAGAGGAAAGACAACAATAATAGAGCGGAGGGAAGATTAATGTCAACTACATTGTCATCGATGTCATCCATTATTCGCGCAAAAAGACTGTACTTTTATAAGAATAAACTTGAACCCGGAACTTTGAAAGCGTTATTAAAAATGCTAGGAAAGAACATTGAAAAGTTGACTGTTGTAAATAATAATACCGAGACAATTATTAAAGCGATTAGGAAGTATTGTCCTTACCTAAAAGTTTTTATATTGCAAATTTATTCGGACACTCGATTTTCTACATTTTCTGAATGGATTGCTGGTTCCAAGTTGCAAACACTCATTTTAGGAACTTTGATATCAAATGTCAATAAGTTTGCAGATAGACCTGATACTTCAATTTGCGAAATGCTTGCAGAAATGGGAAATTATTTTCCACTTTCTCTAAAATGCGTAGATTTTGATTTCGAAATTTCTCCAAGTCAATTGGAATTATTTTTAACACGTAGTAATTATGTGTTTGAGGAGTTGGGTCTGCACCAAGCATTAGGACTAGATGACAAATATTTGAGAATAATTAAAACTCACGCCAAATTATCTAGATGTCTCACAGAACTCACGTTTGATCGAGTTTACTGGATTACTGGGGGGGACGAGCACGCCGATGAGACGGATTCGGATGTTATAGACGAAGACAAACCCGATAGATCATATTTTAGCAATAAATCATTATTAGACGCCGAAAAGTACATTCCGACCATCACTTCAACGTCAATCGATCCTTTTACCGATCCACTTAAATATATATTCAAGGTTCACGATATAGATGAGATGGATACTGAAGGCATGGAGAGAGATGGAATTGAAAAATGGTAGTAGAAATCTCCTGGAAGTGCCTGACACTACATTTCACTGAAAAAAAAAAAAAAGTAATAATTAATAGATCATTATTGTGAGGTCCACCTATCAAGGTGTATGTTTTTGGTGGTTATGCTAATTTCCATGCTTATTCTTTTGAACCATTTTTATATCAGCATGTTCATAAAAGTAAACTTTAAATTAGCTAGTATACCAAATAGATGTTCGTTATTGTAAGTACGTTAAATTTTAGTATGGAAATTTATTTATATTCACTGTAGTTTTATGAATAACTCAAAATCTTAATTGCTTATGTGGTTCATTATCTAAAACATATAATTCCATCTCATTATGACTGAATTGAATTTACAGCCAGTTTATTCCACATTGTTCTGCAAATTTTGCAAAATGACAATAATATAATAAATCATATTTTCCCTCTTTGATTAGTTTAAAATATTTTAGTCTAATGAAATCAATCCTCAATATAACCACTTATTATTAACAGATAAATGTATTTTCGTGGTGATTTTGTCTATTCATTATCTCAATTAGTAATTACACTACAATAAATTGTACATCTAACAGTCTAATTCTAGATTGTTGATCAGACGATTTTAAAAGGAAAAAAAATTCTGAAGATTAGTAGAAAGTTATGCCATCAAATTACACACCAAATTACTGTTCATCATACCTTCTTGTAACGACATATAAAGAGAAATATCCTGATACCATTATAATCAATCGGTTCCAAAATCTTCAACAAAGCTTGACCTTCGTCCACTCGGTAATATCCTTAGATTTTGAATTTCTTGAGAATACTCTCGATTAATCGAGCTTCCTGGATAATTCACGGCAGCAAGGTGACGCAAGACATCTTTTTTTGTAATCAAACCTAAGAGTTGACCATTTTTGGTGACCAAAACATAGCGGAGACCCTATACAAAACATGATTGATGAATCTTTGTAAAACCCTCAGGACGAAATAGGGAATAATTGTTTACCATTTTCCTGAATAGTTCAATGACCATTTCCATGGGAAATTTGTGAGAAATAGTAATTGGGGTCTGTAAAGGATAAAATGTCATCCATCACATCAAATAACAATCAATAAATAAGATGAAACAAAATTACTTACTTGGTCCATCCAGGGTTTGAAATCAACAAATATTGTGGAATCAAGAATTGGGAGATTGCTGGAAAAATAGCAAGGGGCTGAATTCGATATCTCTTTTCTTTTCACTTT